CAGAGATTGACATTTCAACTAAGCTCTGAAGGTACTTAATTAGGAAGACATCTGTGCTCATCACTATTCCACCAACATTGTTGATAGGAAAATGTAGCAAGCAATACAGAAACCAAAGAAGAGCATACACTTCCAAGAATAGTAAACAGTGCTAAGCTTCAGTGATAATAATTGAAACGTGAATTTGGAATTAACATGAATTTTATTGATAGTCTTGGGAAGTTATTTCTAGTAGTGTGGTAAGATGTAAAACCATACTGGCTGAAGACTTGAAGGTGGGAAAGGAAGTGGAGGCAGTAACTATAAGTTATTTTTTTAAAGAAAGTTTGGATATGTAAGTAACAAGACAAGAAAGCAAACAGCAACATGGGTTGGAAAGTAGGTTAAAGAGTTAGGAAACTGGCCAAGCATTATGAAAAGTATAATCATGATGAAACTAGGACTTCTTTTCTCAAAATTTTTAGACTACTATAGAAGGATAATTTTAACTTCGTCAGTTTTGGAATGAAATGTTACCTGAGATTCTTTGTTGAAGCTTTGTTAATTGGATGTGTGACTTCTTTACTTGTATAGCTCTAACTCTCATGTTTCCATTTCCACTACTCTCTTCAAACACCAGTAATTGCATTTTATTAAAGTATATCTTTAATACATTTATCTAGAAAGCAACTTTGTAAATAGTGTCACATGAAAACAGGGTTGTTGTTTTGGGGGGTTTTTTTGTTTGTTTTTGTTTTGTTTTTTACTAAATGCTTCTTTTAGCTTGGCGTTAACTATCCTGGGTGATCAAAACAATTACCGGAGACTGCAGCACTTTTTAAGATAAACCACCCCCCTGTGGCACCTTTATAATAATGTTTTAAATCAAATCATTAATATCTAGTTGTACTAACCACTCACACTACTATAAGATATAGATAAATTGGGCTATAATATCTCATTTTTATGAAGTAAAGAATTTATATTTTCTAAGAATAAGATTTGTTAAACAGATAAAGGCAAAGTTGAAGATTGTAAGGGTAGTCTTCATCCCCCTGAATCTTTTTTCTCTTGAGTACACTGAAAACGTGATCTAAGTCCAACCCTGTCTTCCTTTTAACGCGTTTCATTTTACAAATGAGAGAACTGATATTCTGATTATAAGAGTGTGTATTGTGCCTGGCCAGTGTGGCTCAGCGGTTGAGCATCAATCCATACACCAAGAGGTCACCAGTTTGATTCCCAGTCAGGGCACATGCCCAGGTTGTAGGCCCAATACCCAAAGGGGGGCATGCAGGAGGTGGCCATTTGATGTTCTCTCTCATTGATGTTTCTGTCTCTCTCTCTCCCTCTCCTTTCTTCTTTCTCTAAAATCAATGAAGAAAAAAAATTTTTGAAGAGTGTGTATTGTGCCTGGCTTGTGTGGTTCAGTGGTTGAGCATCAACTTATGCACCAACAGGTCACCAGTTCAGTTCCCAGTCACTACACATGCCAGGTTGTTTTTTATTGATTTGAGAGAAAGAGAGAGAGAGAGATGAATCAATTTGTTGTTCCATTTATGTATTTTTGGTTGGTTCTTGTATGTGCCCTGACTGTGATTGAATCCGCAACCTTAGTGTATTGGGATGACACTCTGAGTTATTTTTGGTCATATTTATTTATGATGTAAACAGATAAGTTTGATTAATAGAAAATCTGATTCCCTGAGTCAGGGAAAAGCTCGGGGAACCAGGTAGATAATTATAAGTTAGTAAGGGAACCAAATATATCAATGGAAGAGTCGAGAAAGGGAAATGAGAGAGACAGGAAGATAACCCAACTCTTGACCATAATGAATATGTCTTTATACTATGGGTTAGTTTATGCCTTATCTTTAGAAATGCATGTGTGATTTATTTTTCTAATGTGTTTAGTGTTATCAATTTAATCAGAAAAGTTATTGAAAACAAGTCTTTAAAGAATAAAAACCTTCCTTTTTATCTTTTTTTAAAAATAATTTTTCTTTGTTGATTTTAGAGAGACAGGAAGGGAGAGGGGGAGAGAGAGATAGAAACATCAATGAAAAAGAATACTGATTGGCCGCCTCTTTCATGCCCCCCATTGGGGATCTGGCCCACAACCTGGGCTTGTGCCCTGACTGGGAATTGAACCGGTGACTCCTGGTACATGGGTCAATGCTCAACCACTGAGCCACACCAGCTAGGTACCTTTTTATCCTTTGATCTTATATGGGCCCTGGTATGACATCCCAAAGGTAGAGATGTTGCTTGCTTGTAGTCATCACTTAGTAAACATTGTGACCTTTGATCTCTGTCTTGATTCTTTTTTGAAAAAAAGAATAAAGCATATGAGAATGTATATGTTCTTAAATTATTGATAAAACATTTTAGAATTGTTGATAATTACTCTACTATGTTTGGTCCTTTACAGAATACCTCTTCTCATTCATTATAAACTTGAAAATCCAAATACTCCTCATTAGTGATCTGGTAACAAGTTAGTGCCAGATCTCCTTCACTGGTGGCGAGTAATGAGAATATAGTAGATTCTTTTGTTTCTTAGATCTTTTCTTCATGGACGAGAATATTCATTTTCTAAATATTTACCTTCACTTGTTTGTTTGTTTGTTTGTTTGTTTGTTTTTGTCCATAGAGGTGTTTTATTTGCATGTATGTTTTACATCTCTAGGAAAAGACTTTTCTCTTCTGTGTGTTTTCCTCTTGCTTCTTCATGATCAGTGGTGTCTGATGAGGTTTTCAGTATAGTGAAACCAAACTGACTAGCTGGGAACAGTTTGTTCTGCTATTTTTCTAGATCTTTGACTTACACATCAAACACACTTGTTTAAACCCTTGAGGTTCACAATTTTTCCAGCTCTGTGATCATCAGTGATTTCAAATTTGCCAATGTAGCCATGCTTCATCGTCATAGTTATAAACTAGATAATGACTTTGGAGTATACCCTAATAAGAACCTAGTGTTTGCTGCCTTTTTATTTGGCATTGCTGATGCTTTTGAACACATCAGCCAGGACATTCATAAGCACCATTATGGTGGCATCAAAAAATGGCAGAAAGAACTACCTTCACTTGTTTTGTGAATAAGCTAGAATCATTGTCAGTCTGAGCAGTACCTTATTTTAAGCTTGATAAACATTTTTTATTTCATTCAGTCTGTAAAACTAGTCCCAGGACTCCTGAGATTTTTCTTCCATAGTTGGTTCTAGCATTTTTTAACATTGTTGTACTGTAATACAGAATTTTGTATTCTGACTATTTATATATAAGCAACATCAGAAATTTCATACGCATATTTCAAATAACAGCTAATTAGAAAATATATTGGAATAAAAAATACCACTTATAAGAGCCACAAAAAGAATAGAGCTAGGAATAAACTTGGAAAGAAATGTGAAAGATGTATATAAAGAAAACTTTAAATACTAAGGGAAATAAAAGAATGACGAATATTTGGGAAAATAGTAGGATAATAGTAAAATATTGGGGGGAAAAGGATAGATTGATGGGGGTGGGGGAGAATTAGCCCTACCAAATACAAAAATAGACAGTGCAGTGGAACAGTAATAGAGTAAAGTAAAATATGTGCTAAGAGAATTTAGTGTACTATAGACGAGGTATTTCAGATCAGGTGGATTATTCAGTAAATGATGTTGGAACAATTCAGTAGCCATCTGGGATGGAAACTTAGATTTCTACCTAACTCCTTAAGAAAAACTCATAGAAAAAATGGGCAAATTAGGTAAAGAGAGTGTATAGAAAAAAATAGTCTTGAATTTCTTTTCAAATGTTTAAACTTCACTCATAATTAAAGAAGTTAAAATAAAAATGAATGAAGTTGGTTTCTTTTCACCTTTTCCATTGGCAGAGATTAAGGAGTTAGTATACTATGTTGATATGGGTATGAGAAACCAAGTTATCTTGAACATTATCAATTGCTGAACAAAGTTTGATAATAATCTATCAAACTTTAAGTGTATACCTGTGATTTTAATTATACAAACTTGTCCTAAGATAGTTCTGGTCAATCACAAAGATGTATAGTTAGTGCAGTAGCATAGTAGGCAAAAAATAGTCTAAGTGTCCATTAAATCTATTAAATAATAATAATATTTTAAAACTAAGATGCAGAATAAAGTGTGTACTCTTACTGTGTGCACCTGTGTACATTAAAATATCTCTGGAAGAATATGTAAGATATTGGAAATAGTGACTACTTTTGGGTAGAAAAGGAGAGCACAAGGATGAAAATGAAGGAGATCTATTTTTCAACCTAAACTTATACTCTTAAATAATTATTTTTAACCATGAGTCTATATAACTTATTGACTTAAAAATAATTTAGCCCAGCTCATGTGGCCCAGTGGTTGAACATCAACTCATGCACCAAGAGGTCACTGGTTCAATTCCCGGTCAGGGTACATGCCAAGGTTGTGGGCCTGATACCCAGTGGGGGGCATGCAGGAGGCGACCAATTGATGTTCTCTCTCATTGATGTTTCTATCTCTTTCTCCCTCTTCTTTTTTCTCTCTCTATAATCAATAAAGAAAAAAATTTTTTTTAAAATAATTTAGTAGAGAGAGAAACATCAGTGTGAGAGTGAAACATTGATATGCTGTCTCCCACACACTGCCCTATTTGGGATTGAGCCCACAACCTTGGGCATGTGCACAGGATGACATCCAGTCAACTGAGCCACACCTGCCAGGGCTATTATAAAATATCCTTAAAGTATAATGTGTAACCATTATTTGTCATTTTATTTTATTTCCTTTATTTAATTCAGAGAGAGAGGAAGGGAGAGGGAGAGAGAGATAGAAACATTGATGAGAGAGAACATCGATTGGTCGCCTCCTACATGCCCTCCGCTGGGGATCGGACCCACAAACTGGGCATGTGTCCTGACTGGGAATCAAACCAGTGACCTATTAGTGCATTGGTTCATGCTCAACCACTGAGCCATACCCACCAGACTATTTGTCTTTTTAAAATACAGTCTTCTAGTGCTCACTTCAGCAGTACATAGACTAAAATTGGAACAATACAAAGAAGGTTAGCATGGCCTCTGCGCAAGGATGACATGCAAATTTGTGAAGCGTTCCATATTTTAAAATATATGTATACTGTCCTCTAGACTCTGAAATTAAAGTACTTACTTGCCTCATAGCTCATTACAGAATATAGTATACTTCATTTAGCCGTACCTCAAATTAATAGTATTTCAAACTGATTAGACTAAAATGTTACTATTTTCTTAGCTATCTGAATAAATTTTTTTGTTTCTGTAATATATTACGTATTTTCTAGGTTATCTACATTCCATGCAGCTCCATTAAGTTCTGTATTTGTGTGACTTTTTATAACAACTTTATTGAGATAATTCACATGTCATACAATTCATCTATTTAAAGTATAGTCACAGTTGTGCAGCAGTTGCCACAGCTAATTTTAGAACATTTTCATAAACCCAAAACAAAACCCTGTATCCTTTTGCAGTCATTTCACGTTTTCCCACAACCCTCCAGCGCTAGGCAGCCACTAATCTACTTTTTTTCTCTTATCAAATTGCCCATTTTGGACCTTATTCATATAAATGAAATCAAGCAGTATCTGGTGTTTTATGATTGGCTTCTTTCACTTACCATGTTTCCAAGTTTTATTTACCTTATGTAGTATGCATCAATGCTTTATTCCTTTTCATGACTGAATAACATTCCATTATATGGATAGTCCACATTTTGTTTATCCATTTGTCAGTTTGCACATTTGGGTTGTTTCCACTTTGGGGCTATTATAGATAATGCTACTGAACATTTGTGTACAAGTTTTTGTATGGGCATGTTTTCATTTCTTTTCGGTATAATATACCTAGGAATGGAATTGCTAGATCATATGGTAATTCTGTGTTCAATTTGAGAAACTGCTTGAGTATTTTCCAAAGTTCCTGCACCATTTTGCATTCCCACAGCAGTGTTTAAGGGTTCTAATTTCTCCACATGCTTGTCAATACTTACATCATTTTCCTTATAGCTATCCTAGTAGGTTTGAAGTGGTGTCTCATTATGGTTTTGATTTACATTTTCCTGGTGGCTGAGGATATGAGCATCTTTTCATATGCTTATTGGTACATGATATATTCTTATATTTAATACAAACTTGTCTTTCCTAAAAGTCTTAAGTATGTACTATAGATGCATCTCTCATTGTTTTGTGTTTAATATATTTTTATGTCTGGATTCACAGCCTAGAAGTTCACTTGAACCTGTCTAATGTCAAATTGGACATTTTAGTCACTGTGAGAAATGTGACCTAATAGAGCCTAATTAAGTCACAATGTAATATAGTGATTTTTCTGATAATATCTTTTAAAAGTTCATGTATTATTTTTGTTGCAGTATTTCACTGGCCTTGAATGTGGACATAAGTTTTGTATGCAGTGCTGGAGTGAATATTTAACTACTAAGATAATGGAGGAAGGCATGGGACAGGTAAAGATGCCATTTTTTTAATTTTAGTTTTTGTTGAATTTCCTACAGTGTTTAGACTCTCTTGTACAAATATAAACAGGTGAAGCATTCTGCATTATCATTTGCATGAGAACTTTTGCTAGATTAAAACAACTAAGATAATTGAGGCTTTTTTTCTATTTACAATGTGACATTCCAGTTAAAGATCTAATTCAGTAATGTTTTCTCAGTAGGCATTAACATTTGTGTATATCAGACTGAACTTGTTGAGGAATTTTGTCACATCTCTTGTTTGTGCTTTTCAAGTTTTTGTGTTTTTTTTTATCCTCACTTGAGGACATTTTTCCTTTTTTTTTTTAATCCTCACCCGAGGACATTTTTCCATTTTTTGCACAGATAGAGTGGGAGGGAGAGAGCGGAAGAGAGAGAGAGAGGGAAACATCGATGTGAAAGGGACACATCGAGTGGCTGCCACCCACACGACCAACCAGGGCCGGGGACAAACTGCAACCGAGGTACATGCCCTTAGCGGGAACCGAACCCGGGTCTCTCCAGACCGCAGGCGGACGCTCTAACCGCTGAGCCAAACTGGCCAGGGCTCCATTTTTTGTTCAGATAGAGTGGGAGGGAAAGAGAGAGAGAGAAACATCGACGTGAAAGGGACACGTCGAGTGGTTGCCACCTGCACAACCCAGCCAGGGCCGGGGACAAATTGCAACTGAGGTACATGCCCTTAGCGGAAACCGAACCCAGGTCTCTCTGGACCGCGGGCTGATGCTCTAACCCCCGAGCCAAACCAGCCAGGGCTGCTTTTCAAGTTTTATATTGAAAAACCAATTCAGGTCAGCAGTGCTGGTTACCTTACAGTGATAAACACATTCATGCACATACATTTCCTTTAAAGAAAGGGAACAATTAAGATCCCATAAATATTGAGGTATCCTTGGAACCTAGCAAAGTGCCAGGCAATGGTAAGCATTTAGTAAATTGAATGAAGACAGTTTAAATTTTAATCTTTTTCAGACTATTTCCTGCCCTGCTCACGGTTGTGATATCTTAGTGGATGACAACACAGTTATGTAAGTATTTTTGATAGATTCTGCATGTTAAATATTGATTAGTTGATTCAACTAAATTTTTGTTCACCATAAAGGAGTTGGAATTCTTGTGAAGTCTAAAGAGATTTTCTAACATACATTATTTTGTAGTACAAGGGAACATTTGAAACTTGATTTAATGTTCAGTCACTATTCTGGGAAACTTGCCAATACATGATAATTAGATTTCAGTAAACCTTGAAATTAGGAATAAGATACACCAGTCTGTCAGTTGAGTAAGTTCCTCTGGGAAGCAGATTTAAAAATGAAAGAGATTTACTGTGGGGTAGCATCTGTGCAGGAGAGAAAGAAAGAAGGGGGATCCAGTAGGAAGAGACTAAGACTGTGGTGCAGCTGTGAATCTTCTGAGGCTCTATGAGGAGTTTCATTTTATAGATTGAACACAGAAGAATGCTTCGATAAGCAGAAATTACCAGGCTCTAGTATCCTTGCCATGTCCAGTCATTCTCTGCGTGCCTCTCAGGGAGAATTTGACCTCAGCTGGATTACTGCTAAACTATGGATCCCAAGGGCACTGCAGCTGGAGGCTGTTAGCTAACTACTCTTCTTATGAAAGGTTCTCTTTTGAAGGGAGAAAAAAACTCTGAGAAACAAGTATAGTTAGTTTCTGACCATGGGGTCTAATCCTAAATTGCTTAATTCCTGAGTCAGTGCTGTTTGGGCTGTGAGATGTCAATAAGAAGGTTGTTGTTTCATGAAAGTTTATTTGAGGGGAAACAATGGCAAATGGAGAAAATATTTTTCCAACACCTAAAACAAATGTGGCTAATCTCATAAGGGCTCTTACAAATCAGTAAGAAAATCCTATGGAAAAGCAGTTCACAGTGAAAGAAATTTAAATGGTTGCACAGTGAAAGAAATTAAAATGGTTATAAACAATAGCTATCATGCCTAGTTAAGTAAATGTATATCAAAATTAGATTATTCATCTTTTTAAAAAACTTTTTGCATTTAATATTGGTAAGGATTAAAGATTTGGTAATGTAAGTGAGAATATAGTACAATAAGGAGTATAAACTCTGTTGCAGACTTTTCATAATGCTGTTTGTCAATTTCTATAAATGTATGTGCTCTTTGGTCTTCCAATAATTTTATCATTTTGAATATGTCATTCTACTGCCTTCTTACCTTCATTGTTTTTGATAAGTCAGCTATTAATCATATTATTGTCCTCAGTTTGCTGCTTTTAAGAATTGTTGTGCCCTGGCCAGTTTTCGCTCAGTGGTTAGAGCATCAGCCCATGGACCAAAGGGTCCCAGGTTTGATTCCCAGTCAAGGGCACATACCTGGGTGGTTCTATCTCTGGCCCTGGTTGGGGTGGTGCAGGAGGCAACCAATCAATGTGTCTTTCTCACATTGATGCCCCACCCCCTCGTATCTTTTTTTAAAAAAAGAAAAAAAGAAGAGGTGTGTCTCAGTTTTAAGATAGTTTGATTTTGATATACCTAGATGTGATTCTCTTTGTGTTTATCTTTGGGGTTTCTAGAGTTCTTTGGATATGGAGCCTGGTACATGCATAGTAAACTTTGAGAATATTCATCAGAAAATTTTAATAGTAATGTCAGCTAGGGGTTAGGGATTAGGAAGGGGATTTCCACTTTTTACTTTATATAGTTATATACTATTGGTTTGTATCTTCAATTTTCTTTTAAATAAATAATTTTAAATTTTAAAAGAATCAGAGAATATGTTGTTATTTTTATTTTATTTTTTTAATCCTCACCTGAGGATATTTTTCCATTTTTGTTCAGATAGAGTGGGAGGGAGGGAGAGATAGAGAAACATCAATGTGAAAGAGACACATTGACTGGTTGCCTTTTACACGACTCTAACCAGGGCCGGGGACGAACCACAGCCGACTGGAATCAAACCCGAGACTCGTTGGTCTGCAGGCTGATGCTCTAACTGCTGAGCCAAACAAGCCAGGGTGAGAATATGTTTTTTAAATGTTTAATCTTAAGGTCCAGAAACTGGAATGGGCTTAATTTTTTTTTCTTAGTGTGCAAGAAACTGAATCTGTCCCAGTTGTATTATTTTCTTTTAAATTCCAATTTGATAGATTAAAAATGGTTTCTTGTTCTAATTTGAATTAGGTCATTTGGAACTTGCATTGAAACTGAAACCCAATCTTTTCCTGAAGACATATTTTCCTATAACTTCCTCAAGTTGAAACTAGCTTTTTTTCCCCTGTATACCTTATGGTCAGGAGGTAAAGTCATTGTGTCCATTAGTCCCAAATGCTGTATTCAGACCATTTCTTTACTTCAATTTAAAATCCATAGATCCTTTGAAGCTTGTGTTATCCCAGTATATCATAGCCCTTTGTGCTTTTATCAGACTTCTTGGTCACTCCCACTTAATTATTTTTAGGGCTTATATCTCACTCACTACCTTTTCTTCTCCTGAAGCTTACTGCCATCCAGTGTGATTTCAATGTCCTTATGTATAGTCCATTCTATACCATAATCCTCTAGTTCTCAAAACATAGTCCCCTGACCAGCAGCATCAGCATCATCTAGGAACTT